AGCCAGCAAGGGGAATTCTGGGAGTTGAAGTCCACCCATCTTAAAGTTGCCAAGGTTGAGGAACCCTGCTTTAGACTGTCAGTTCTCCAGGTTTGTTCTGTTTGTAACACCCAAAGAGGAGTTTATGTTTAAATGTGCTCCCCATGGTAAGCAACGTTTTATTTTATTCTGTTTTATGACAATATTAACCACAGCTTGACTTGATTATAGGGCTTGGCCAAGTGGTACATCTTTAATAGCTCACGTAGTCCTCACATCCTCTAGTTTGCTAATGTATTGTATATTTTATTTGTTTTCTTGGTTATCTGGTGCTTTTCTGTTTGTCACATTGACTGGTCATTGACCCCAACAGACAAACACTTTTATAGACTTTTCTCTTGGAACCCTGTGTTGGGTATTTTTACGTGTCATAAAATTAGCTCATTGCTTGCAATAATTAGCTATTTCGTGAAGTCTTTTCCATAGTGTTTGCTCTTGATAATTAATGTTCCATGTAAAAATTACATTTTAAACGCCTCTTTTGTTTATAAACAACCCAAGTATGTACTTTTTTTGGTCAGTGGTTACAGGATGTCATTTTACTTTCCAATTTCACACTTTCTGCCAAGCTCTTGGTGGACAACTTTTTAACAATATGTATGAAGTAGTCAATGAAGCTTGGATTAAAATGGAAGGCCTGTTCACACATTTGCCCTGCCCACTGTAGAATATTGCAAAATGTAAAGCTTAAATATATACAGAGAATGTACCATGACGCCACTAAATACATACACCCATGCCGGAGCTCCCATGCTAGCATTCCAACCCCAATCCTTGGGGAAGAGCTAGATCTTCACAACCTTGTGAAAGGCCAATAGAGTAGGAGCTGTCCATATTTGGGGAGGGAGGCTGTTCCATAGGACAGCTGCCAAAGCAGAGAAGTCATGCTTCCAGTGACCCACCAGATGACACTGTTTTATCAATGGCACCCAGAGCATGCCCACTCTATCAGATCTGGCAGGGTGGACAAAAAGTACTGGGGAGAAGTTGTCCCATAAGTAATCTGGTCCCACGGCATGTAGGGCTTCAAAGGTGACAACCAGCACCCTGAATTGCATCCAGAAGTCTTCTGGGAGCCTGTAATGTATGTGGGAATGACTTGGGAGACAGGAGGAGGAGCTGCAGCCTAGACAACAGTCTGATAAAGCAAATCTGAGTCCAGAGGAGGAGGGGTGGCAAAAGCATCTCGGAAGGGATCCTCCCTAGTTTTTGGGAGAGGAAAAGTGGGGGGGGGGAATTTTTGGACTTGCAAGATTGATGTTACCCTTGCAAGACAAGAAGCACAACAATGAATACTAGCTTTATCTTTATTGTAAGGTTACATTAACAGACTCTTGCATTTGGCTGCATATTATTAACTTTGTTGGCAGATAATGCCCTAAGATGTGAGCCAGTTGTTGTAGTGGTGAAGGCACCAGGCTAGAAACTGGGAATCCGTGAGTTCTAGTCCTGCCTCAGTCACGAAACCAGCCGGGTGGCTTGCCAGGGAAACTGCAGGAATGAGTCCAGGCAGTCACCAGGAGTCAACACTGTCTCAAAGGCACCCCTCCCCCAGACCAAATGAATGAAGAGTGTAGTTGTCTATTAACCATCCCCTTGCTGAATTTTCCCTTCAGATTTTTCATATTTAAAGTCTTTTTGTGAAACTCCAGTTGACAACATCATATTAACTGAAACTCAGTCAGCTTTCAGATTCCAAGCCATGGCTTATACGAGCCATTGTTCGAACCCGGCTTGTTTACTTTCGCTTTCTGTTTGCTTAGCTTTCCTGCCTCTGGACCCTGCCCTTTGTTCTGCTTCTTAACTACGAGTAGCTTGCTGAGATGTTGGATTGAGTCACTGATGCCATTTTTAATTGTCAATGTACATACTTGAATTTTTGGACCAATTTTGTCCCTACAAATAAGAAGACAGTTGATATTTTACAATTATTTATTCAGTCATTATTCATTAACGTAGTTATTAACAGGTCCCCTGCACAGGAAGATATGAATACTTGCAGTGTATGTGCTCTTTGTGTCAAAAAGAACTTGAAGTTTCTTGCGTTTTCGGGAACATCTTATCTTCCTTGAAGCTGCATTGTACGTTTTGTGGTTTTTTTGCAGGAACTGTTTAAAAAGCTGTTTCTAAGCCCATGATGAATATACAGGTCGTCCTTACTTACCACGATAATTGGGACCGGGAACTCTGTCACTAAGTGACACGGTTTAAGGCACGATGTCATGTGACCGTGCCAACTTACTATGGCAGTTCCAGCAGTCCCAGTTGCCACTGTTAGGCGAATCTTGCACAGTTGCGTCCTGCAGTCACGTGATCACCCTTTTCAACCTCCTGCTTGTTTCCCCACTGACTTTGCTTGTGGGAAGCTGGCAGGGAAGGTCACAAATGGTGATCATGTGAACACGGGACGCTGCAACTATCATAATTGCAGAGCACCCGAATTTCAATCGTGACCGTGGGGACACTGCAACAGCCACAACTACGAGGACCTGTTATAAGTCCCCTTTGTTCAGTGCCATTGTAACTTTGAACAGTTGCTAAATGAGTGGCCATTAAGCAAAGGCTACCTGTATCTGATTTCCATGTGAATATCTTTAAATTCAGGGCTTATATTTATCCAGAACCATTTTCAGTGGCCAGTAGGGGGCGCTGTGTTCTTCATACTGGGTGCTTCTCTGCTCACATCATTAGAAAATACTTCTGAGTTAAGTGGGATAGCCTAAAATGACCAGTACTTGAAATGAAAAAAACAAAATAAAAACAAAAATTGTTTTCTAGGCAGCAAATGGGCTCTGTGTTGTGGAGATGGCAGTGTAATTGGTCAACAGAAATTAAAGTCACTGATTAGCTTTCAGGACCTCTAAATTTAATCCCGCAACACATGTAAAAGTTAAGGGGAAAAATAAGGTAGGAAAGAATAATAAATTGAATGCAGGGTCATGCAGATTCACTTAAAGGAATTATTTCAGGTTACATCTAGTAGCTTTCTTTGAGAAAATAATAGATTTTTCTGAACAAAGAAACAAGCCATCAAATTAGTTTGGATTTTAGTAAAGCATTTGGTATATGGTCACTTAAAAGATGTTGAAGGAATCTCTCAGGGATCGATCATTTATTTAGTTATGTAGTTAAACACTTCATATTTGGCTCTTTGTTCAAAGTCAGTTCACTAGACAAATGGAAGCAAGCTATCACATCAATTGAGAAATCTAGATGGATCCAAGTGGATAGAATTCCTGAATCCGATGCCGTAAGAAAGATCCTGTCCCAGCTGATGTAGAATGAAGTGGGATGTAGGACATGGACCTTAGCAGGCATTAGTAAGCATGCCAGGTTTTGCTGGAGAAGATCCAGAACTTTGTTCCCGGCAATTCACGACTGCTCTTTAAAGCATTTTCACTTTGCCCCTTCAGAGACATTTTAAAATGTAAGGAAATAATGCTGAATCAATTTTGATGATATCATAAATTAGATTCACAAAATGAGATATAGTTCATCAAGATAAATGCAATGTTATGATGTACCTATAGAAAGTAAATGTGCATTAATACCTGTGGGTGATCAGAATGAGATGCTGCAAGGTTACAAGATAGTTTTCGGTTGGCAATGAAATCCACTTGCAATAAAACATAACAAGCAGCCTGTGATGATGCAGAAAGGCCAGTGAAGTTTGTACTGAAGCAGGATCAAAGAGAATGCAAAAGTTCCCCTGGTTTGTCACTAGCGGAGTTTTTGGAAGATCTCCCTAGAAAAGTGGAAACTGAAAAGAGACAAGATTTTAGGGTACAAGTATTTCAGATAAGTCATTTTGTCTTTTGTTGCTACTGGGGTAGAGGGGGGAGACAAAGAGATATCTTGATTTAAACATTCAGCAAGTTTTTAATATTGTTTTACATTTCTGTTCAACATTTAGCATAAAATAATATCTGTGACCAGCTAGGTGGCAGCATCTGGTTGACTGATTTGGAAAACTAAGCAGAGTTGGGCCTGGTTAATATTTGAATGGCAGCTTGAAGATGGCATTACTTTACTCAAATAATACATGCACTTAAGTCAGTAACTGGAATTAATGGCTGTGAAGTGGCTTCCTGGGTTGTAATTATGAAGGTTTTAATTTTAGTGAGGGACTCTCAAAGGGCCACATGTTATTCCACTCCTTAGGTCAGTGTTTCTCAACCCTGGCCACTTTAAGATGTGTGGACTTCAACTCCCAGGATTCCCATGCTGGCTGGAGAATTCTGGGAGTTGAAGTCCACACATCTTAAAGTGGCCAGGGTTGAGAAACACTGGGTTAGAGGATGATATTTTGTTTTACAGTATTCCTCCCATGTATTTATCTTTAAATA